GAATACCTCTGTCGTCCACCCCCCCCCCAGAAGGGGCAACCCCTGAAACTGCCCAAGTCTCAGAATCCTGTTAACCAAACCACACACTAGAAAGTGAAGAGACGACTACGTTCCGGTCTGTCCTGGACCATTATCAAGTCGATTGGACCATTACCACAACTGACTTGATAATGGTTCAGGACAGACCGAAACGTCGTCGTCTCTTCACTTTCTAGTGAATGGCTTGGTCAACATTTTTCAGCCAGGTTACTGTGACTCCTCATCTGCTCAGGATCCTCTAAACCCCGCCCCGACCCCAAGACCCTCAGACACCTCGGAGCCGGAAGCAAGGAGGGGGGGGGGACCAGAATGAACCACAGCAGGGGAAGAATGAGAGGGTGCAGACTGAACCAAGGCCGACTTGACTAACACCCCCTAATCCGGGTCCCTATAAGCAAAGTGGGGCAGCCTCGGAGCATCAGGGTAGCATTCAACCTAGCACGTTGCAGCAACCTAAACCTAGCATGGAGTGCTTGAGCCGCCTGCACCCGGATATTGTCATCAGTTGATTGAGTGAATTGAGTCACAAACAACCAACAAAGCTCGCAGGTCTCAGGGTTAAAGGTGTCACCGACCCAACAAGCAGCATGATGGAGGCAAAAAACCAGCGTTGAATGTAATGAAACGCCATTTTCTGGGTGAGACCCGGAGGCTCCCCGGAGCTTTACCGGCTGATATGCTAATGTCAGACTTTGGCATCAGTCATGTGTATGGAGTTCTAGGGCCTACCGGGGACCACGAGCCAGAACCTGGCCTCCTCAGAGAGGCAAGGGGAGCAATGGCCTATAGAAACCCCCGTGTGGTTGGAAGCATTCTATGTCTGCCATCGACCGGGTCAAGCATCCAGAAAGGTAAGCATTCCAAAACAAACCCCTATTCTGGTGAAAATTGCTACCTAAAGCCGAACTAGTGGATAGAACTCTTCAACAGAAAACAAGGAAACTAGTATGACGTCATACGTCACCGCGCCACTGTCTGCGCAGCTCCCCCCCTCCCCGGGAGGGGGAAGGGGGAGCCCCAGACCTCCCACGCCGGCTATCCACCCATCAGTTCTGAGGCTGGATGTCAAAACACACGAAAAACGCCGACCGGAGGGAGGGAGGGTTGCCGGGGAGCCTCCGGGTCTCACCCAGAAAATGGCGTTTCATTACATTCAACGCTGGTTTTCTGGGGGGAGCCCCGTCGGCTCCCCGGAGCTAACTACCCACAGAGGAAGGTCAAAGTGACAGAACCGAGAGGCGGACACCACGCACCCCCCCAAGGAGGCGAGACAACCGGCAGCAAACGCCAACCCAAGGCGCCACAGCCCCGGAAATCCGAACACGAGAACAACACGAGAACCACGAGCAGCAAGGCCCCTGCACGAACACCAAAAATCCATGCCCGAAAGACCGCAAGGCCACATCGCCCAGACGGCAGCGAGAGCAGCGAAGCCACGAACGCCACAGGCATGAGGGAAGAACACAGGCAGCTTAGCCGCAAGAACACGGCTGACCACCCGGGACACTATCACCCGCGAACCGGGATGAACAGAACCGGATCAACGCAAAACGCGCTCCGGACCCAAACACCGTGGCACGCAAACAACAGCGGAGGGCCGCCACTGAACACAAAAACGACACACCCCCGGCCCGACCAACGAAGCACCAACAAACCCTGGACCCCTCCAGAATGCAGCAGCCCCACCCCGCGCCAGAAAAGATGGAGACTGCTGCCACCAAACAACCAAAATGCTAAAACTGAAGGAGCAAGAAAACTCAGCGACTCGACCCCCAGAGGCAAAGGCCCAAAGGAAAGAGCCGACGAAAAAACACACCGGAACCGAAGGGGCACTACCAACCGAGGAGAAGACAGAGCACGCAGACCAGAGACCAGGATGGTGCAAGCGGCGCACGAACAGGCCGGAGGTGAAACGACACACAAGACAGCTGACTAACGGTGTAGAAGCAACACCAAGACCGAATGCAAGCTGAAGCGGCTTCGCCCGCGCCGCACGAAAAGAGGCGACAGTATGTGGCAAGACGACGGCCCCCAACCCCCACCAGAATACCAAGCCGAGAGTAAACCAAGCTAACAAGAGTAACCACCTAAGAAGGGACAGGAAAAGGAAGGACCGCCAAAATACCCCAAACTGCCGCCAAGAGAAGCACGCAGGTGGGACACCTACCACGAAGCCACCCGACCACCAACCGGAGGCGAGACCGCGAGGCAGAACATAAGCAGCCCCGACAAGGCCCCTCCGAGCCCAGGAAAAAGGCGGAGCCACGGGAAGATCTCGGGCGCGACCACCGAAACCCAGGCGGCACAAGGAGATGGAACGTCTACCGAACAGAAAAACTCCCCAAAGCATGCAAGCCCGCCAGGAGTTCAGAAACGACGGGTTCGACGCGAGACATCGCAAGACCCAAAAAAAAAAAAAAAAAAAAAAAAAAAAAAAAAAAAAAAAAAAAAACGGCAGGGCAAGCTAGGAAACCAAAGAAGGCAGAAGGGTCGCCGCCAGAACAGTACCCGAACCAAGGGGTACGAACAACTGCAATAGACCGAGACAAAGAAGCACATCACAGGACACAGGCTGACCAACGCCTAAGAACACACGCAGAACATCCCTGCAGCAGAGGAGGCAGGAAGAAAGAGCAGAAGCACAAAAACCCCAGGAGAACAACCAGGGGTGGACAATCAGGCAGGGACAGAAAAACCCCCACGCAATCCCCAGGCACAAAACGGCAGCAAAGTGCCACTTCACAACCGGACACAGGAACAAGGACACGCCACCGTGAAACACGGTACCAATGCACATGTGCAGCAGCAGCAACAGGCACCACTGCAACATGCAACATGTAAATAGCAACTCCCTTCTGCAAAGGCAGAGAACGGAGCAGGCAGACCCCAGACAGGGCCAACGGAGACACGACAAAACCCTGCAGGCCCAGAAACCTGCACCAGGCGACCGACGGCGGAGAAACCCCGCTCGATACCTGCTGGATGAGGTACTGGGAGCACTTACACCTGAAGCCCGGCCCAAGGCCAGGCTAGACCGGCCAGAGGGTGGCCCACCAGGCAGCTGCTAGGAGCAGTCCACCGGCCCACATACCCCCACAACCAGGACGGGCCGGAACTGCCATACGAAAACAGGCTAGTGCGCCCTGGAAGTCCACGGACGAACCAGCAAGAAGGCTTATGCTCGCAAGTAGGTTGTGTAACAAGCACAGACCGCTGATGGTAATACAGTGTTCCCCAAATGTGCCAATAGCACCACTGCACTCCACTGGTACTATCCCGCAAGTTCTACCAGATAGGCGGGACCCAAGAGCCAGAGCTCAAATCCTGCAAGCACAGCCAGGAGCCTTACCAGGTGAGTACAGAACCAACCCTACAACCCCCACACCTCACAACATTAAAAAAGGAGGGTCCCCTGAATGACTCCAGCATGGGTTGGACATGCACATGAGGGGACAGGAAGGGTTGATAAGGGACAGTCACTGGTGTGCGAACGGTCTCAGTCTTACAAAAATATACCTAAATAAAGACAGGTATATAAACAACACCGCATCCAGCGCCCGGCCAAAAGACGCCAGACCGCAGAAACTCGCCTGGCGAACGGTGGCACGAACTTGACACGACTCAACCGTGCCCAGAAGAACCTGGGAGCACCGCCAGGTGAAGACGCCAGAGCCGGACCCTGCCGGACCCACAGGAGAGCAGGGAGAGGCGAAGGAGGCGGTCCACACCCATGACACAGGGAAAACCGCGGTGTCCTCCCCACAACTGGGAACCAGGACACCCCCGGCGCGAAGAGGCACATACCGCAGCCAGGGAGAAGAACGAGAGGCAAAGCACTGTAGCAAAAAGGGCGCAAAACACCAGCACTGAAACACCGCCTAGACCAAAACAAACTCCACTGCGCATAACACGCTGGCCGAACCGCACACCCTCTCTGCGGGAAGGCGCCAGCCAGGACTACTGCACGAGAAAAGTAACCAAAAGAGGAAGCAGGAACAATAAAACCGGCCAAAGAAGCAAAGAGCCCAAAAAAGAACCCAACCGGGCGACAAGTAGCCCAACCGGGCGACAAGTAGCCCAACCGGGCGACAAGTAGCCCAACCGGGCGACAAGTAGCCCAACCGGGCTACAAGTAGCCCAACCGGGCGACAAGTAGCCCAACCGGGCGACAAGTAGCCCAACAGGGCGACAAGCAGCCCAACAGGGCGACAAGCAGCCCAACAGGGCGACAAGCAGCCCAACAGGGCGACAAGCAGCCCAACAGGGCGACAAGCAGCCCAACAGGGCGACAAGCAGCCCAACAGGGCGACAAGCAGCCCAACAGGGCGACAAGCAGCCCAACAGGGCGACAAGCAGCCCAACAGGGCGACAAGCAGCCCAACCAATGAGCGTCGCCCTGAGACAAGGGGACAAAGCAACCCTCAAACTTGCACAAGGTGAGAAGGGACCCAAGGGTCGCATCCATTGGAACCCATGCGCCACCGCAGGATTTCTGCGGATTTTTCCTGGGGTTTCCGGGGTTTTAGAGTTTGAGCTGGTCTGCACAGCTCCCTTTTTCCCCCTTCCAGGGAGGGGGAAGCTGTGCAGACAAGCGGCGTGGCACGCGTGACATCATACTCATTTACTCACTTTCATTTGCAGAGCTCTGTCCACTTGTTAGTTTTCAGTAGTAGTTTTAACCAGAATGGGGGGTTTGTTTTGAGGTGCTTACCTTTCTGGGTGCTTGGCCCCCGTCGATGGCAGACACAGAATGCTCCAAATCACATGTACACTTCTACAGGCCATTGTTCCTCATGCCTCTCTGAGGGGACCAGGTTCTAGCTCGTGGTCCCTGGTAGGCCTAGAACTCCATTCACACTGACTGATGCCAAAGTCCAATAATATACATATCAGCCTGTATAGCTCCAGAGAGCCAAAGGGGCTCCCCCCCCCCCAGAAAAGGTATTTAAGGGCTTGCTTACCTGTATCAGTACTAGTATGCAAGTTTATGGCGAGGACAGATATTAGCAGACTTGAACACTTCTGAACTCTCAACATGTCTTGTCTCGCCAACAGTGGCTGAAGTTCTACCGTTGTCTGCAGGCCGCCGTGGTCTACAAGCCACCCTGATCTACAGGCCACCGTGATCTACAGGTTGCCGTGATCAACAGCCACCCTCAGTCCACAAGTCCACAAGCTGCTGTGTGAAGGGGTAGGGATATCTGAGTATACAATGTGATAAACAATTTCCACATTTAAGGTTAAATGGATTCTTTAATCCTTGTCACCAACAGGCGCATAAAAATATTTAAACAAATTTATTTTTCTTATAAACCTGTTAATTTGTGTTCCCTGATCACGGGAAAATAATAACAAATCATAAGTGCCATATTTTGGCCGCAATAGGGCGGGGAAGTCTGGCAAAAAATAGGCGCTGATGCAGCAAACGTCGGGGAGAGTTCTGCTTCACCGACGCTGTCAGGCGGGGGGGGGGGGGGGGGGGGGGGTACACAAAGATATAATTACCTAATTAATTCTTCGATTGATTTTTTCTTTGTTTTTTCTGTAATATTATTCAATAGTGTGTAGTGTACCTGCATGTTTTGTTCACCATAACGAACCACTAAGTTGATAATGCAAGTCAAAAAGCAACAAGGAGTGGCCAGATCTGCCAGCCAGCCTCTCGCCATCACTTCCTCCCTCGCCAAATTCCTCCTCCCACCATATTGTTTTTGCTTTTATTCGCTATATACAGACGTATCTACATGTTGTGTTCACCATAACTGTTCATTTAAGCTGGTATAGTGCACAAAGAGCATAGTGACCACCTATACACAGCATGACAAGTCAGGAAGATGACACCACCTTCCTCACCAAAATGGCTTCTCCCCACACTCCTTTTGCTGTTATTACACTATATATACACATTATATATAAGTATCTACATTTGTGTTCATCATGGCGAACCACTAATCTTGTATGGTGACGGCAGACAGTAACAGGTGGCCACACACAACTCGTGCTCCCTCCCTCCCACCCTCACTGGTTCAAGCCCAGACGCACTAACATTCCTCCTTTAAGTATACTGTTTGTGGTGTGATTACCCTATATACACACATTATATATAAGTATCTACATTTGTGTTCACCATAAGGAACCACTAAGTTGGTATGCTGAGTCAAACAGTAGCAAGGAGTGACCACCACACACCAGCTAGCCCACCACTGGCTACCACTCCCTCCCTCCCTCCCACTAACGAACTCCCACCTCCCACTAACAAACCAGTAAATTGATAATGCGAGTCAAAAAGCAACGAGGAGTGGCCCACATCTGCCAGCCAGCCACTCGCCACCACACCCTCCCTCACCAAATTCCTCCTCCCACCATACTGTTTTTTGCTTTTATTCACTATATACAGACATTATATATAAGTATCTGCATGTTTTGTTTACCATAGCAAACCACTAAGCTGGTACTAAGTCCAGACAGTAAAAGGTGGTCACACAGAGCCAGCAGATAACGCTACCACCCTCCCCATCAAGACAACTCCTCCCATTACAGCGCTAATTATCACAACAATCCTGCTATTATCAGAATTCTGGACACTTTTATCACAGTCAGGGGTCTTCTGTAATACTATCGCCGCTAAATAATAGCATGTAAATATATATTTTTACTTTTTAGGCGATGCTGTGGTCACAAGCTGAAAAGCAGTGCTGTAAGCTTATGCTGCGTGCACCAGCCTTGGTGGCTCACTCAGTACTGAGGCCCTAACACCCGGGAATGTTGCCCATGATTTTTTTTTTATATGGCATCTGTTTACAAGAGCTCTGATGAAGGTGAGGTGAACCTCGTGTATCCGCGGGCCGTTTAAATCTTGCGTAGTACTCTAACACGTCATATGACATGAACAGAAAAACTGCCAGAAATTTGGAAGGCGGCAAACGTAGTCCCGATATACAAGAAGGGGGATAGACAGGAGGCACTGAACTACAGGCCAGTGTCCCTAACTTGCATACCATGCAAGCTAATGGAGAAAATTGTGCAAAAAAAAGCTAGTCGAACATCTGGAGCGAAGAACTTTGTGTCACAACACCAACATGGTTTCAGGGATGGCAAGTCATGCCTCACAGGATTAATTGAATTCTATGATCAGGCAACAAGAATCAGACAAGAAAGAGAAGGATGGGCAGACTGCATATTTTTGGATTGCCAGAAAGCCTTTGACACAGTGCCACACCAGAGACTAGTGAGAAAGCTGGAGATGCAGGCAGGAGTGAAAGGGAAGGTACTCCATTGGATAAGGGAGTACCTAAGTAACAGAAGACAGCGAGTCACTGTGCGAGGTAAGGTCTCAGATTGGTGAGATGTCACCAGTGGGATCCCGCAGGGCTCAGTCCTTGGACCTATACTGTTTCTTATATATGTAAATGATCTCCCAGATGGTAAAGAATTATTCATCTCATTGTTTGCTGATGATGCAAAACTTATGAGGAGGATTAAGATGGAGGAAGACAGTATGAGACTACAAGATGACCTATATAGACTGCATGAATGGTCCAACAAATTGCTACTAAAGTTCAACCCGAGTAAGTGTAAGGTAATGAAACAAGGCCAAGGAAACAGGAGGCCAGACACAGGATACAGAATGGGAGATGAAGTCCTTCATGAAACGGACAGAGAGAAGGATCTAGGAGTTGATATCACACCAACCCTGTCTCCTGAAGCCCACATCAAAAGAAGAACATCGGCAGCGTATGCGAGGCTGGCTAACATAAGAACTGCCTTAAGGAACCTGTGTAAGGAATCATTCAGAACCTTGTATACCACATATTTAAGACCAATCCTGGAGTACGCAGCCCCAGCATGGAGCCAGTACCTTGTCAAGCACAAGGCAAAGCTTGAAAAAGTTCAGAGATATGCCACTAGGCTAGTCCCAGAACTAATAGGCATGAATTACGAAGAAAAGCTGCGAGAAATGCACCTCACGACACTAGAAGACAAGAGTAAGGAGAGACATGATCACTACCTACAAAATTCTCAAGAGGAATTGACAGGGTTACCTGGTTGATACCTGGTTGATGGGGTTCTGGGAGTTCTTCTACTCCTCAAGCCCGGCTCAAGGCCAGGCTTGACTTGTGAGAGTTTGGTCTACCAGGCTGTTGCTTGGAGCGGCCCACAGGCCCGCATACCCACCACAGCCCAGTTGGTCCGGCACTCCTAGAAGAAAACAATCTAGTTTCCTCTTGAAGGTGTTCACGGTTGTTCCGGCAATATTTCTGATGCTCGCTGGTTAGTTACTCAACACTTTTTATGACGTGTTGCGAAGTTTAAGGGTTAGTTTGATTTTAGTAAAACCACTAGTATGCATATTGTTTCATTAAGGTCCTTAATATTAATTTCCCCTGGAATACAACCCGCTAAATCGTTTAACAGCCAGGTACCCATTCACTGATGGGTGAACAGAGGCATACAGTTATGGACTGGCGGCTAGTTGATCTTCCTTGACCAGGGAGGATCAATCAAATCCTCTCCCCACATTTTGCAAATCGCTTACAAAACGTGGGGCGAGTGTCTTACCAACATTTCCACAGGAACATTGGTGAATAAATTCTTGGAAAGCCACTAACATGCATGGCATTTTGGGCAGGACTTTAATTTAACAGATAAGGCAAGGTGAAGAAGTACATTGTAGCAAAATTTGAGTTTAACATAATAACTACAATATAAATTGATGGAGATTACACTGGTGAAGATGCATGTTTTAAGTTCTAATAATATTGGGGAAGTGGGTAGCACAAGACACAGTGTGAGTTGCACATGGCAGGAAACTATGAGGATGAAATTAGGTACTCTTTGGTTTTATTTTTGAATAAGGCATTGGTTGGACAATTTTTTAATTCATTAGGAAGTGAGTTCCATAGACATAGTCTTTTTATTTGCATGGAGTATTTGCACCAATTTAGTTTGACTTTGGGGATATCAAAGATATATTTGTTTCTAATATGGTTCTCACAGGGTTCTATTATATCTACCAAGGAAGAGTTTCAGATATGGATTAGCATTTAGGAACATGGTTTTGTACATGTAAATTGCACAAGAGAATGTGTGGAGTGGGTGTAAGTTAAGCATGTTTAGGGATTTAAACAGACGGGCTGTGTGATGTCTGAAAACAAAGTTTGTTATAGTTCTGACAGTAGATTTTGCTGGGTGATGATGGGCTTGAGGTAATTTGCAGTGGTTGAACCCCATCCACAGATACTGTATGTAAGATAAGAATAGATTAGAGAGTAATATAATGAGAGAGCAGAACAGAGTGGGGAACATTATATCTAATTTTAGAGAGTATACCTGTACCCACAGTTTTTGAGACTTTTTTGGCTATGTGTTTTATGTGGGTGCTGAAGTTTAATCTCTTGTCTATGTATAGGACAAGAAACTTTCCATCATTTTTATTGCTAATGTTAACATTGTCTATCTGAAGTTGAATTTTGTTTTATGATTTACTTCCAAATAAAATGTAGCAGGTCTTTTTTATGTTTAGTGAGTTTGTTGGTTGACATCCATGAGTTAACATTTTTAAATTTGTTATTTACAATACTATTTAATGTGAGTTGATTGGGTCTGAATAGATGAAGGTAGTATCATCAGCAAATAATAAAGGTTTAACAATTTGGAAAACTGAAGTGTTTTCCTGTTAGATCTCATTATTAAAATGGTGTTATGAAATTCAATAACACTTTATTAATCTGTCAAATTAATAGTATTAGTTCAATTTCTAAATAATCAGAATATAGCGCCATTAATTTATAAATAGCTATTACAAATTTTCTTCACCTCAGGAGTTAGGGAGCAGGAGGAAGTCTCAACACCATTATAGATATTAAATCACCTCATGTTAGTGTACAACACGCTACTCATTGACACCAAGCAGAAAATTCCCTGCATACACTGCCTAAAACTAGATAATTTAGTTCTGGGCAGCTGTAGCTGGTTTCTGTCTCACAATTCTGCTAAGTGGCCCTACAATTTATTAGTTTTATCTCAGTTGAGTAAAAGGGTTTAAATGATGGTTGGGTTGTGAGGGCAGTTAAGCTGCGGGAAAGTATAAAAAAACTAAACATAAGGACTTAGGCTCTTTAACTTCAATTTATAATTACATCAATGTGTGATTTGATAATAATCAAACTTATAAGTTTTACAAATCTAACAAATAATTTCCTGGCAGATGTCGTCTCGGCTGTAATGAACTGGATGCAAAGCAGTCGTATGTCCCTTGATACATGCTCTGGCTTAAAGATTCTCCTAGTCCAATAAGAGTAGCTTTTTTTTTTACTAATCTTGATCCTGATGGTACAGTGATCTTTATAAATTATTAAATTAATTAGAAATAAGCTCTGAAATAAGTTATTTAGCAGTGCGCTTTTGTTCGTTTTGTTGTGGTCTAATGTATTTTTGATATTGTCATACAGTGCATTATCAACTAAAGAGTTGACCCTGGAAACTACACTCAAAAAATTAAACTTAACACAAATTAAACAGTATTTAAGTTTTTTAAAGTACTGGACCATCTTAATTTAATTAATTAATAAATAAAATAATCCTTCACTGTGAAATTGTGTGAAATTATAAAGTTATTAATTTCAGTCCATTTGCTGTTAAACAAGATATAATTAATTTACCTGCATAATCCCACACACACAACCTGACTTTAAAATATGTATATCCAAGAATAATAGATATATTCAGCAGTTTCAATTTGTTCCAGTTTACACGTTTGTTTATTTCTTAGGTTAAGTTACGTTACCAACGACAGCAATGTCCTTCCAATCACCACAGTGGGACTTGCACCCCTCATAAATGTCTCCCCCACTACCACAGTGGGACTTGTACTCCTCATAAATGTCTCCCCCACCACCACAATGGGACTTGTACCCCCTCATAAATGTCTCCCCCACCACCACAGTGGGACTTGTACCCTTCAGAAATGTCTCCCCCCCCCCCCCCAACAACAGTGGGACTGTAACCCCTCAGAAATTTCTCCCCCACCACCAACAGTGGGACTGGTACTCTTCAGAAATATCTCCCCCACCACCAACAGTGGGACTAGTACCCCCCCCCCTCAGAAATGTCTCCCCCATGATAAAATAATAATAATATTTTATTTAGGAAAAGTACATACATAGATGCAGAGTTACAAACATTCTGATTGATTTATAGATAGAGCTAGTACATACAATACTTAAAACCACTTGTATGCATAGCGTTTCGGGTAAGGTGAGGTGGGGAAAAATACACAGACTAAAACTTAATAGTAATTGAGCATACACAGACTAAAACTTAATAGTAATTGAGCTTAAAGTATAAATTGTGTTGAAAGAAAAAATAAAAGATAAAAAAGGGTGGAACATGGTAGAAAATAGCCAATATACAAGTTGGTCAACAAACAGCAGTTTAAAAAATAGTAAGACATGGGTTGACCTTTAGAGGTAAGGTATGTTACATGGGAGTTAATTAGGTAGTACTTAGTTTTCATCTTAAACTGGTTGAGAGAGGTACAGCCTTTGACATGATTGGGAAGGTCATTCCACATTCTGGGTCCCTTGATTTGTAGAGCATTTCTAGTTTGATTAAGTCGTACTCTTGGAATATCAAATAGGTAATTTGTTTCCGGTGTGGTGCCCATGGGTTCTGTTACAACCTTCTAAGTATCTTTTAAGCTCAGCATTGACATTACAATTCAGAGTTTTAAATATATAGAGTACACATGAAAGGATGTGCAGTGACTTTATATCTAACATATTCAGAGATTTGAGTAAGAGTACCGAGTGCTGTCTGGGGCCAGAGTTAGATATTGTTCTATTAGAAGCTTTGTGTTGGGTAATTAGAGGACGTAAATGATTTTGGGTAGTAGAACCCCAAGCACAAATACCATAGTTGAGATAAGGATAGATGAGGGAGTAATAGAGCATCACCAGGGCAGGGCGAGGTATACTGTATATTGGTTATTCTTAGATTAATTTCATTTGAGGATTTATTACCAAACAAAATATAGGAAGTTTGGTCAAAGTTAAGGGTGAGTTTGTTAGCAGTTAGCCAAAGATGGACTATATTTAGTTCAGTATTCACAGTGACATTTAGAGCAAGCGGGTCAGGACTGGAGAAAATGAAAGTTGTGTCATCAGCAAATAAGATTGCTTTGAAGTGTTGAGAGGCATTTGGAAGGTCATTAATGTAGATGAGAAAGAGGAGAGGGGCCAAGTATGCTGCCCTGTGGAACACCAATATTTATGGGTAGTGTAGGAGAAATGGAATTATTCATAGAAACATACCTGTCAGTAAGGCAAGACTGAAGGTATTGCAGGGAGTAACCTCTGACTCCATAATGATGTAATTTAAGAAGAAGGTTTTGGTGGTTGACAGTGTCAATAGCCTTACATAGGTCCACAAATAACCCAACAGGGAACTCATTTTTATCAAGAGTTGTATGTATCAAGTTAATCATACTGTACTAATAAGTGCATCTTAGTGCTTTTATTGGGTCTGAAACCATATTGGCAAGAGCTAAGTATATTGAGTTTGGCTAGATATGAGTAAAGCTGCTTGCAGATTAGCTTTTCAAGTATTTTTGGCAAGGCTGGCAGAATTGAGATAGGTCTGTAATTGTTGACATCAGTGAGATCACCACATTTGTGGACTTGGGTTACTCTTGCATTTTTTTAGAAAATCCAGAAAGGTTTAGAGTTCAAGTGATTTGTTGAAGAGCAATGCAATGGCAGGAGCTAAAATCTTGAGGCTTTTTGTAAATTAGAGATGGTATCTCATCAAGGGCACTTGACTTAGTTTTAATGGAAAGGATTACCTCATTAACATCAGAGGAAGTAGCAGGAGCTAGGTACAGAGACTCTGGATAGTTACCTGTGAGGTAGTCTTTAATATTAGTGAGTGAGGATGGAATATCATGAGCAAGGGATATACCAATGGATGAAAAGAAAGTATTGAATTCAATCGCAGTGTCTGAGGCCGAAAGCACACCATCATCATTGGATAGAATTGTTTTTTTATTCAAAATCTTTTTTGAACCTAATACTGTATTTGGGAGATAATGCTCCATGTTTTCTTAATGTTGCCCTTAATTTGGGTAAATTTATTTTCATAGTATTTTATTTTGGCTTTTCTAATTATTTTAGACGGCATGGATGAGTAAATCTTTGAAAATTCTTTGGAGACGACTCCTAACCTATACTTCTTTTCAAGGTCATGTTTTTATTAATAGATTTATGTATACCATTTGTAAGCCATGGAGTGTTTAACCTTTTATTTGTAACTTGTTTCGTTAGCTTTGGACAGTGGGAGTTATAAAGGGTCAGAGTTTTCTGAAGAAATGTTTGCACTGCTAGGTTGATGTTCGCTATGTCACCTAATTCAGCCTCCCAGTTGATATTAGCAGCAGCAGCAATAAAGTTGCTTATAGAAGTTTCATTGTGCAGCCTAAAGCTTACCTTCCTTGTATCTAGAGGTGGTTTATTTATGTTGGTTAGGAGAAATGCGGGGTAATGGTCTGTGGTCCTATCATTGATTATCCCTGAAGTAAGTGGAGAGGTTATGTTAGTCCAGATGTGTTCAAGAACAGAGGCAGTAGTATCAGTGATTCTAGTAGGTCTAGTGATTAAGGGTATGAGGAAGCAGGAATTCATACAGTTGAGGAAACTAGCAGCAGGAGGGTTTTCAGGCTCGCAGAGGTCAATATTAAAGTCTCCTGCGATAATTAGATGGTTTTTGTTCAGTCTGTTATCTAGTATTAGATTTCTAAGGTTAGAGTTGAATTCGGACACATCAGTGTTAGGAATTCTATAGACTGTTCCCACAGTCAGGACAACTCAGCAAACTGGCAAAGATATACTCCTTGACTCTGAAACTGGCAAAGATATACTCCCCACAGTAGTCTCTAGTTCTAATTACTTTTAAGCATGTCAGTTCTTGGTGGTAGTAAAGAGCAGTACCACCACCACCTCTCTGAATTGGTCGACAGTTGTGAATTGCTGAGTAGTTTGGCATGTTAAAGAGTTGAGTAGTATCCTCTTTTAACCACGTTTCAGTAAGTATAATAAAAGATAATTTATTGTCAACAGTTTGAATCAAGGCACTAACATCATCAAAGTGTTTGCTTAGAGATCTTACATTCAAGTTAATTACAGAGATATTTTGATTATGTGTTAATACATTGTTTACATCATGTGCTGTAAAATATCTGCAATTTTAGTCATTAAAGTGATGATTGTCATAGATACTGGATAAGAGGTTTAGTTCAGGGTCTATACTTGTTTGCATAAGAAGGCATCTCCATCACCAACAGTGGAGCTGATACCCCTCAGAAATGTCTCCCTCACCACCATAGTGGGACTGGAACTATACAGCAACGTGTAAACAATAAAGGAGTGTAAGGGCTAGTGCCCACCGACAGTCTGGGTCGACGCGCCTGATGGACACCGCCACATTTTTTAGTTTTCTGGCGCAATTACAGCTTCTATCTATGAAAAATTACTACACAGGCAATCATACTTACTTCAAGTGTATATCTTAACAACATAAATCGTCATATATTGAAGATAATTGGGCTAAACATCTCTGAGAATTAACCAACTCAACGGACACCGGCCTCTTTGTTGTCAAACTATTCCAACCAGAGTTGCCAGATACGAATTGCTGAAAGTAGCGCATGACATGACAGTCTAAATGTAGCGAAATAATAATAATAATAAGCAATAAATACATCTCAAAGGGATAGAGTAGCTTAGGCTATTTCTACCCCCCTCTACTTCAAGTCCCTCAAGGGGCGCACAAATTCAGTGAGTACAAATAGACAAATAACATTACAAGAATCCCATTTAACATTGCAGGTTTATATAGTAAGTACAGCATATAATTGTTACACTCTCGGGGCAAAATTCTTGTATCTCCTAAGTATACTGTCTATTATACCATTATCACACATCCAAACAATTTGATGTGGTACACTATTTATTTCCTTATTTCTATAGTTTTCAATATTCTCAAACCTATATTGTTTGCTGACGATACTACCCTTATCTACTCAAACCTCAACCCACATACACTAAATAATGTTGTGAATAATGAATTAAAAAAAAGTCCACTTATGGATGTCAACGAACAAACTAACAATAAACATCGAAAAGACTTACTACATCTTATTTGGAAGCAAATCGTCAAATACAATTCAGCTACAGATAGACAACATTAACATCAGTAATAAAAATGATGGCAAGTTTCTTGGCCTATTCCTAGACAAGAGACTCAACTTCAGCACCCACATTCAACACATAACTAAGAAAGTCTCTAAGACAGTTGGTATACTCTCCAAAATCAGATATTATGTTCCTAACTCTGCTCTCCTCTCACTATATTATGCACTAATCTACCCCTATCTTAATTATGGTATCTGTGCATGGGGGTCTACCACTGCAAACCACCTTAAGCCCATCATCACACAGCAAAAATCTGCTATCAGAATTATAACTAACTCTGCTTTCAGACAACACTCAGCTCCCTTGTTTAAATCCCTAAACTTGCTAAATATTAACTCCCTCCACACATTCTCTTGTGTCAACTACATTTACAAAACCCTGTTCTTAAATGCAAACCATGCTCTGAAACTCTACCTGGACAGATGTAATAGGACCCATTATCACCACACCAGAAATAAATATCTCTTTGATATCCCCAGGGTCAAACTTAATCTGTGTAAACACGCTATGCAAATTAAGGGACCTAGTCTATGGAACTCACTCCCTAGTGAATTGAAAAACTGTAAAACTTTTGCCTTATTTAAAAGCAAAACCAAAAAGTACCTAACTTCATCTTCTTAGTTTCCTACACTGAGCTTTAAATTTGCTCTGTACCTAGTGTTACCCAATCTCCTAATTTTTATGTAATGTCAAACAACCTTATCATTGTGTTCATTGCTGTCTTCTTTTATGTGCTAGCCATATGCTGTATTGTGACTACCAATTTAAAGTATTTACCTCCTTAAAATTTTCTTAGATTAAGGACCTGCCCGAAACGCTGCGCGTGCTAGTGGCTTTACAAGACTGTAATTACCATGTTTGTATCCTCACATTCCTTATGTACATTCTTGTATATGCATAAATAAATAAATAAATAAATAAATAAATAAATAAGTTGACACTCGATCTAATACATAATGTTCTAAGGTGTGGCGTGCGGCATACTACATAATTTAATCTTTTTCACTGACATCAACACCGTATTGCCAGATATATTTGTAACCTAATCTTAATCTCATGTAAATTAAATCCTTCCAAGCAGACTTACCTTTACCATAAGTGAAGGACGAATTTGTATTTATTATTGAATAATTCTTAAGTGTGTTACTACTGTCCACCATTGCCATTCTCTTTATCATTTCTTCAACCTCTTGGATCATCTTAATTCTTGTTTTTATTTGTTTCAAGGGTAACTGACATACAACATCAACAATAGTTTTTTCAGTGGCTCTCTTCGCTATGTCATCAACTACCTCATTCAACAGTATTCCCACATGTGAAGGGATTCATATGAATCTTACTTTATACCCAGTTTTTTCTAGTCTCTTAACATTCTCTCTACACTATCACAATATTCTGATACACTGGGCGTTTGCTATTTAAAGACTCTAACGCTCCTCTGCTGTCAATAAAGAAGCAAGCATTTTTACCACATTTGACTACTTCCTGTAATCCTGCTAATACACCTTGGAGTTCAGCCTGCGTTGAAGAGACATTGTCAGTTAAGCGGCGTCCAATAACAGTATCTACAGTGCCGATGTCAGTGTACTCCCTGATCAAGACTCCACATCCTGCATTCCCATCCCTAGCTACTGAACCATCACAATATACATGTAGAGTGTTTTCTGTAGGCAGTTTTCTAATTATACAATCATATGTTGCCCTCAGCTCTCCTATTTCATACACACTTTTTTTCTTTTGCAAGGGAGTAATTACTACATCTACATTACACTGAGCTTTAAATTTGCTCTGTACCTAGTGTTACCCAATCTCCTAATTTTTATGTAATTTCAAACAACCTTATCATTGTGTTCATTGCTGTCTTCTTTTATGTGCTAGCCATATGCTGTATTGTGACTACCAATTTTTGTCAACTACCATTCAAGCTGTCATTGCAACCAATCTTTTATTGTTTCTGCTGTATTATGCCTACCAATTTTTTTGTCAACTACCATTCAAGCTGTCATTGCAATCAATCTTAGCTACCTATGTGCTTTAATATACTGTACCTACAATTTTCTCTCATCTTTTTTTTCATTTCATGTAATCTGTTATCATTTTTTGTCTATAATTTTGCAAGTATTTACCTCCTTAAAATTTTCTTAGATTAAGGACCTGCCCGAAACGCTGCGCGTGCTAGTGGCTTTACAAGACTGTAATTACCATACAACATAACATAAGGGAAACCCTAGCTGGAGAATAATCAGGCGGCAGAAAACATAGTGACTGGGGAAGCCTGATAAGTATTTGGAGAAGAAAATAACCCCAGGCCAGAGGCCGAGCCGCCAAGGAAGGAATTACCTGACAAGGTAGGGCTTACTAGTAGAATGTCTGTAAAGTCAAAGTAGTAGCTGCGGACAGCGGAACACTTGGGGACGGGCGCTGCACCCCCCCACCCATCCCCAGTGAAACGGGAGGAAAACGTGAGGAACAACGACTGACGTAGTCAGAACCGTGAGAACTGGCAGCCAGCAGAAAGGGGGAGGAGGGTGGGCGCTTCGTGAATCTTGGACCTGGTCGGGAGAGGGAGTGAGAGCGGGACCTGACTTCCCGCGCCTTTTATGCCACCCAGGCTGGCCGCACCACGCCTGCGGGACGCGATGCGCAATTGTCTCTTCCTTCCCCCGTCAGAAACTCCACCGCCTTTCGTCAAAAGATTTTCTGATCAGGGGAAGGAAGACACCAACACATGGGGCGTAAAATTTATTACAGGATAAATAATTCTGCAGAAGTAAAACAGGCTTCTAAGTAGGTCTTAACAAATGTATAACATAGCCGTGGCTAACTCAAAGTACACGAAACATCTTAAAATTGTACACCCGTAGTAAAATAACGTAATCTTATAGCCTAGTAACAAACTCTGCAGAAAGCTAATGTCCTATTGTCTAGAATTAGCAGCGAGGCGAATGGAACAAATCTAATTCTAAGTATAACAGGACACCAAAGTGAACAACATAACATAAGGGAAACCCTAGCTGGAGAATAATCAGGCGGCAGAAAAATACATAGTGACTGGGAAAGCCTGATATGTATTTGGAGAAGAAAATAACCCCAGGCCAGAGGCCGAGCCGCCAAGGAAGAAGGAGTTACCTGACATAAGGTAGGGCTTACTAGTAGAATGGCTGTAAAGTCAAAGTAGTAGCTGCGGACAGCAGAACACTTGGGGGCGGCTGCTGCACCCCCACCCCGCAGGCCAGCAGGCCGGACCCCCCCCCCCCCGAAGGGCGAGTGCCCGCTGGCCGCGAGGGAAACCTCAGGGTGGCAGAGCAACTACGCTACCGAACTAGGAAGGAAGGAGGACAGACTGGAGGAGCTCGCACGTCGCCTCGACTTATGCCCCCTGGCCCTGGCCCGTGGGCGACAGTCGGTGAAGGTGGGCAGGGCGGCTGTAGCAGCCGCGGCAGGGTCGACCTCGGTGGTTCCCATGCCCAGAAGGCTTGTGACATGAGAAGGCCCCCGAGTCTGCGCGATGGGCGCCTGCAGCGTCGTCCAATCGTCGGCCGAAAGAGGTGGAGGCTGCGACGCTGTGCCACCCGCCGCTTTGCCAGCAGGGGGCCTCTGGGAAGTGTGGTCGCCGTCCACATCAGAGCCGCCCGAGGAGGCCCCCGAGGAGGGGGAGGCGAAGCGGGCGGGTTTCGTCCTGGCCCAGGCCGGCTGCGTCCTCACACCACTGCGCTGTTGTCCTCGCACGACGCCGCCCGACCCTCTTCCGTGTTGCAGTTGCTGCGTGATCCGGCTTCTCGCCACTGCGGAAAATGAAAAAGTAAGCATCGGCAGGTCTAACGGGAAATAAACAGGCAGGGAGACCCAGCTGCCGCACCGGCAACCGTCACATACACAAGTAGACAAAAGCAAAGGTAAAGTTAAGTGTCCATAGTGAATGAGGATGCCGGACATAGCTAAAGCTATCGTAATAAAAGCTGAGCGGTTAAAATAGATTAAGAGAGTAATATTCATGTATAGATTGAACAGTATTATTCATGGTATAGTTTGGTTATAATAAGACCGTATCATTCATTGTATAGTTTGTTTATATTAAGACAGTATTATTCGTGGTATAGTTTGGAAGAATTGAACAATAATAATCTCAAAAGTGAAAAGCAAAATTATTTGTGTATCCCACTAGAAAAGGACACTGCTTAATAACACTGCAACAGTGTTATTAAGTAAATACCGGGCATAACTGAAGCTGGACTATGTAACAAATTAATTTTAGAAACTTAAATAACCAATAAATAACATAGCGAGGCCAAAACAGCAAGGGAGGCATGAGGCTTAAGCAGTGCTAGAAAACAGAGAATAAATAGCGGAGTAAATACAAGACAAACTGAAACTGAACAAGTAAATAGCTTAAGACCATATTATAATATACTTGTATTTAAACTGAACAAATAAAAGATAT